ATTTCTGTAGTTTCAAACAATTTTTTTTCTGTGTATGAACTTTATAGGAATTTTCTTTCTTGCGCTTCAAGAGATAAAGAAAATGCTGACAGACAATTTCTTTCGATTCATGTTCCAGGCTTCCTGCGGACCAGCGGTACAAAAATTCTGTAGTTTCAAACAAAATGTTTTTTCTGTGTATGAACTTTATAGGAATTTCCTTTCTTGCGCTCCAAGAGATAAAAAAATGCTGACAGACAATTTCTTTCGATTCATGTTCCAGGCTTCCTGCGGACCAGCGGTACAAAAATTCTGTAGTTTCAAACAATTTTTTTCTGTGTATGAACTTTATAGGAATTTCCTTTCTTGCGCTTCAAGAGATAAAGAAAATGCTGACAGACAATTTCTTTCGATTCATGTTCCAGGCTTCCTGCGGACCAGCGGTACAAAAATTCTGTAGTTTCAAACAAAATGTTTTTTCTGTGTATGAACTTTATAGGAATTTTGTTTCGTGCGCTCCATGAGATAAAAAAATGCTGGCAGACAATTTCTTTCGATTCCTGTTCCAAGCTTCCTGCGGACCAGCGGTACAAAAATTCTGTAGTTTCAAACAAAATGTTTTTTCTGTGTATGAACTTTATAGGAATTTCCTTTCTTGCGCTTCAAGAGATAAAGACAATGCTGACAGACAAATCGTTTCGATTCATGTTCCAGGCTTCCTGTGGACCAGCTGTACAAAAAGTCTGTAATTTCAAACAAAATGTTTTTTTCTGTGTATGAACTATATAGGAATCTCCTTTCTTGCGCTCCAAGAGATAAAAAAAATGCTGACAGACAATTTCTTTCGATTCATGTTCCAGGCTACCTGCGGACCAGCTATACAAAAATTCTGTAGTTTCAAACAAAATGTTCTTTCTGTGTATGAACTTTATAGGAATTTCCTTTCTTGCGCTTCAAGAGATAAAGACAATGCTGACAGACAATTTGTTTCGATTCATGTTCCAGGCTTCCTGCGGACCAGCTGTACAAAAATTCTGTAGTTTCAAACAAAATACTTTTCCTCCGATTGGCAGCAAATATTAATTTTGCTGACACATATCAATCAGCAAAGTATTACTTTTCCTGCCTAGGCAGCAAAGTGGGTACTTTGCTGATTGATAAGTATCAGCAAAATTAAAAATCCATAAATCGTTTATAATTTCCTTCATATTTCATCCGAGACTTCCCCGGCAACAAATTCAACTCTATATTTTTTGCCACCTCCCTTATCAATGGAGGTGTAAGTATACTTCCAGGTCGCTATCACTGTCCATTATATAATAATTTAAATATACCGATATTTTTTCGCACAACTGTCAGAAATTTCATGAATTGTCAAACCAACAACTGCGATTTCTATCAAATTTTATTTTAATTGAACACTATACAGGAAGAATAAAGAGATTGTGGGAATTGTATTAATTCGCAAATACAATATTTTCCCATATCATTATGAACAATCGGAGAAAAAATTATATGTTCAACTCGGCAGCAAAGTAGATTGACTGCCTTAGCTGGATTCCTAGCCTCGCTACGCTCGGCTATGAATTCAGCCACGGCAGTCAATCTACTACTTTGCTGCCTAGTTGAACAAATAACTATTTTCTGTGTATGAACTTTATAGGAATTTCCTTTCTTGCGCTCCAAGAGATAAAAAAATGCTGACAGACGATTTGTTTCGATTCATGTTCCAGGCTTCCTGCGGACCAGCTGTACAAAAATTCTGTAGTTTCAAACAAAATGTTTTTTCTGTGTATGAACTTTATAGGAATTTCCTTTCTTGCGCTTCAAGAGATAAAGACAATGCTGACAGACAATTTGTTTCGATTCATGTTCCAGGCTTCCTGCGGACCAGCTGTACAAAAATTCTGTAGTTTCAAACAAAATGTTTTTTCTGTGTATGAACTTTATAGGAATTTCCTTTCTTGCGCTTCAAGAGATAAAGAAAATGCTGACAGACAATTTCTTTCGATTCATGTTCCAGGCTTCCTGCGGACTAGAGTCCCTGTATATACCTTAGACAAGAGTCCGGACACAAAACTGACAGTCGTTGGGGTTTATGATATTTTGTTTCATTTGGTTTGTCCACCTGACAATGTGACGAAACACCATAGTCGTCCCGCCCGCTTTTTTAATTATTTCACTGTCACTGAAATTTTATGACCGCCAAAATTTAGCATTTTAAATTATTTCAATGTCCTGCTGCGTACATTATTGCGATAATTCATTAGGAAAGGGATTCAAGTTATTCAATTTTCCGAATGATCCTTTGAAGATAATGTCATGGAAGAATGCAATGAAACGTCCAGAATGGAAAATTAATTTCAGGAAATCCGCAATATGTGAGGTGAATATTCAAATTAACTTAAAATAACAGTACAAAAAAAGATGAATTTCAGGCCCATTTTGATAGAGATTCTTTCAAGCTGATGGATTTCAAATTGAAAGAGTCTGCGGTGCCGTCAATTCATAAAATAGAGACGTTCAAAGAAATAGTTCTGTCGTCATCGTATTGGGAATTACTGAATGATACGATCGCAGAGAAAGAAAATGAGGATGAGATGATGCAGAAAGAAATTGAAAGTTTGAAATCAAAACTAGATTCAGAGAAATTGCAATGTGCTGTCAAAATGTACAGGTGAATGTAGACTGCAGGAAGAGGTGGGAAACTGACACAATTAAAATTATATTGAAACAATTATATATCTTCTATTTTTTTATATTCCTACAAAAAACAACTATATTTTCTTGGCTATATGTGATACCACGTAAAATACTTAAATTATCTTTCTTATAAGTATCTAATGAAGTGAAGAAATATCTGATGACGAAAATTTGCAATAGCTATCTCAGGAATTGATTATGAAAATCATCGATTCAAAATTTGAACACCCTGTTGTTCATTATTTGAAAATCTAATAGTAATTCTAGTTAAAATAGCCCTATTTCTCAATTCTACCTATACCCTCAAAATTTTTTTTGACAATCATTGCTCCTAGGGGAATTGAGAAGACAGAGCTCCATATACAGGCTGATTTTAAAATGAGTGCATATATTCAAGACATATATATGAGAGAGTCTAACAAAAATTACTAAAATATTTGATTTTTCCTAAGTCTTCACATTAACGAGAAATTTCATTTTGAAAATTGAACATAAAATGCTTCGAAATTCGAGTACGCCACTGGGAAGCAAGTGAAATCTGCGGAATCCTAGGGTATCCACAATTCCTCATTCACTAAAGTCAAAACAAGACAGTGATGCCAGATTGTTTCAGAGACGAATATCCTGATAAAAATTTGTCACAGAATGAACATGAATTGAAATAGGTTATGGAAACTAATAGAGGTGAATGTAATATGTACAGGAGCCTTATTTTTTTAAGTTTACTGAGAGAACTGTGGGGTGATTATCTCCATGGATCACGAGAGACGGAGAGAAACATGAGGGGAATGATAGAACGTCCCCCTTCCTTCAATTCGAAAATAAGGCCCCAGCGGGTAGATACAAAATTAGCAGACAATAAATAGGTACACAACATACACAAAGTTGAAAATCGACTCACCTAGTAGATTTTCTCATACCTGCACGAACAGCAAAACTCCCGAGAGCAAACAAATACTAATATCGAGTCCATTCCATCCAATTATTTTATTTTACGTTTACAATTATTTTACAAACCAGCCGACACAAACAAAACTATTATCATATGATCTGTCAACATCATTTCTCAAAACAGCAGTATCTGACTATCTGTGACCATAGATTTCCTCTTTGCTGTGACCTTTGACAGTACTAACTAGGATTGTTCGCGTTCTATTACTATTTCACGAAGATTGTTACGATATTACGATTTGTCATGAATCTATTACTATTTGCTATTAGCACCAAAATATGTTCCAATACTAAAAAATCTATTTCTGTGCTCAGCGGATAATTATGTTCCGTTCTATGTTCTATATTTATGTCAAAACTGTGATTAGTGCGCTAGGGTTTGACAAGAATGACATTCCGAATGTCAAATGTCAGATTTTTCGAGTCTGTTACCTTTTGATACAAATCTGATACCTTTTTCCAAGGAAATCTATTACGAAAAAATCAGACCCAGGAACAACACTGACTAGTAAATGTAAAGTTTTGTTTCTGACAATTTGCTTGGAAAGTGACGATGCATTTCTCAAACATTGAGCTGAATGATATGGTTCTTATGTCGGGTCGTTATTGTGCGGGGCCCATGAGACTCCTCGAATGACACGAAATTGTAGCGATGCAAGGAGGTGGAAGGAAGGGTCTAAAGGATTTTTCAGTAAAAGAACTTCCAAGGGGAGGTGTTAAGATATACGCTTTTCCAGCTTATGTGTACAAATCTTGGGTGAGTCCATTTTAAAGTTTTTGTATTATCTTTCTGAAATTCAAGACCAGGGTTAACTTCTTCCCCATGTACATTTTCTCGATTATACATTTTATTTAATATCTCCTAATTGTCATGTCGAGTGGCAACGTCGCTTCGTTCATCACGGTCGACTGCGGATCGCAAACGATAGTTGTGACAGAAGTAGAAATCTGGGCGGAAAAAGGTTATTTTGCCCCAAATCTATTTTGATCCTAATAATATTTTTAATAGTGTTATTCGGTAGTATACCTCAAGCTTTCTTAATGTTTAAAATATATGCAAATATTTTGAAATCAGCCTGTATATGTCTTATTCCTTTATTTAATCATCAATGCATTTTTTGAAAACAGAAAAGGACAGAAGTATAGCTGTGTCCGGACTCTTGTCTAAGGTATATACAGGGACTCTACTGCGGACCAGCGGTACAAAAATTCTGTAGTTTCAAACAAAATGTTTTTCTGTGTATGAACTTTGTAGGAATTTCCTTTCTTGCGCTCCAAGAGATAAAGAAAATGCTGACAGACAATTTCTTTCGATTCATGTTCCAGGCTTCCTGCGGACCAGCAGTTCCTCGGGACCCGCCCGCCGCGCCGCCCCTGACAGCGGCGGCGGCAACCTGGGCATCGAGGACGTGACGGCGGCGCTTCGCTGGGTCAGAACCAACGCGGCGGCGTTCGGCGGCGACCCGGGGCGGGTCACCCTCGTGGGCCACGACACGGGAGCGGCGATCGTCAACCTGTTGCTGCTCTCGCCCAGCTCCAGAGGTGAGAGAGTCGTTCGAGAAGAAGAAACTAGAATTCCTTGGGGTACCATGGGTGCCACGAGAAAAAATTTCAAGAATGGACTTTTTTAAATTGAAAGCATTGCTTTTTTTTAGAGATAATGTCAATTCTCTATTTCAGAGGATTTTGATTTTTCATGCTCTCTTTTTGGATATTCAACAGATATAATTCGTTGTTCGACGTTGCAAATAGCTATGCAAGTAGTTGTTTTCTGTTGAATATTCAGAATAATATTATATGATGGAAAATGCAAATTCTCTACTTGATAGTAAATACCCCTTTTAACGACGGCAGTATTTATTAGTATAACCAAAATACATAAAATATCCCTCTCACGCACAGATTCACCCTCTCGATGATTGACAACCGAATTAAGTCCTTATATTTCAAAAGTGACATCCGCTCTCAAAATGCCAAAATACGGGATGTTGTCGATGATATTGAATAAAATACCTAACACTCGGCCCTTTCTGACACTATGAGTGTCCTCACTCATCCATCTCTCATTCATCATAAGAAAATAAATCAATTCGCAGATTGATTCTAACAACTACAACTATAACTAACAGTGCCAATAAAATAGCACAATTCTCAGCACGCAGGCCGGTTTAACTATAATCTAAAATTCGTCAAATCATTCCAATACAAAATCAAGTAAACGATTTGGCAATTTAGTAACACGCTTGGGCCTTTCTTTGGCCCGCACATCAACTTCACTACACTTGTCTTCTTCATTTTTTTCTTGTTCTTGTTTACTTTCTCTTCTTACCTGTAGTTGCTCGTCTTCGCTAACTACAGCGTGATAGTCTTCATTTTCTTCTATACCTCCGTTCTCTTCTTGTCGAAACTCCTCTTCTCTTCCTGTACTTTCCTCATCTTCTGATTCTTCATGATTTGCATATGATTTCAATTGTGAAACGTGTGCAGTGGTAACGAACTTTCGACCAGAGTCCAGGCTATGTAAACGATACGTATCACTGGGTAATATTTCTATATATGGTCCTTTATACTTAAGTTTCAACTTATTCCATTCACCCGGTATTGTTTTTGTTCCCCGAACGAATACTATTTCTCCGACATCATAATTCAATCCAATGAATCGCTTTTTGTCGTACCGATCCTTATAATTTTTCTGTTCTCCAACAATTCTTTCTCTTATTTCCGTTTGTTTTTCTTCAGCAGGAGTCCACTCTATTTCTGCTACTCTTGCTGCCAATTTATCTTTTCCAAAACTAGGTAGATAACCATGGAGTACTTCGAATGGACTTTTTCCAATTGTTTTATTATGAAACGTGTTCAGGCTCCTCTCTGCTTTATCCAAAATATTATCCCATTTGTCTTCACTTTCTACAGTAGTAGCCATTGCAGACAAAAGAGTCCGATTAACTCTTTCTACCTGTCCGTTTGCTTGAGGCCAACGACTAGAATTTAGTGTATGGTCAATATTCAGACCTCTACAAAATTCACCAAAATCATTCGAAGTGAAACAGGTTCCTCGATCTGTGACCAACAATTTCGGAATTCCAAACAATCCGAAGAAGTTCTCAAACTTTCTGGTCTTGATTCTTGTTGATGTATCTTCCATAGCATACAACTTGACATATTTTGTTAATGCGCATACAATCATCAAAACATAATAATTACCTCTTTTCGATTTCACGAAAGGACCTAGATGATCGGCATGAATCCTTTCAAATGGTCTCTTTGGAGGAGATATTGGATGGAGTTCCCCTGGCTGCCTTTTTCTTTTTCTTCTGTAGTCTACTACAAGTCGAGCTTCTCCGTTTTTCTTCGATACAAGAATCACGGGACTCGCATATGAACTATCAGTGTCTGTTACGATACCGCACTCGTGCCATTCCTTTACAATGTCCGCTGTTTCAGTAGGTTCTGAAAGACTTGCACGATATGGCTTGCATACTAGCGGTTTACAATTGTCTACTATGTCCATACGAATTAGATCTGTGCAACCCAATTCTGACAAATTGAAAGAAAAGCAATCTCGATATTGATTGAAAAGGTTTACTAACCTGGCCCTAGTCTCTGGTTCGATACCTGATTCAATATTAATCATATCTTCAGTGATCAATTCCATTTCAGTGTCTACTCCACTGATGTGTGGAGAAATTCTTCCCAACTCCTGCATCTTCTTGACTCGACAGCTAGAACCTTCTCGATTCTCCAGCGGAACGCAGACTTGTTCTTCTCCCATCGTCGCAGTCACAAGCATCACAGAGTTTGCTGGAATATCCACAACTTCATTCGCAACCAATGAAATTGATTCACCAGCTTTATCTTGAATCATCTCAGGAAATGGCAATTCATCCTTCCATAGGAACTTCAAGGTTTTGCCAACTCGGACATATCCCAAACAATCTTGTTCAGTAAAAGTGCGCCCTAGTATAACATCTATACTCTGAGCAGAATTTGGGACAACATGCATTGCCACGTTAGAGACTTTGATGTTATCAATTTCCAAAAATTCTCGTACGGCTTCTGAACTTTGAACAGATGTTCCTCCAAAACCAGATAAAACTATCGAATCATTTTCCACAGAATGATTCCCTTTGGTAACTGCATCTTCGGTGATAGTGCATACTGCACTACCAGTATCAATCAGCGCTTGATGTGGTATACCGTTTACTTTGACTTCGCGTATGAATCGTGAGAGAGAATCTGTGGTACATTCCCTTCCCGATACTATGTCAACGGACGCGTTCCCACCCATGTTTGACGTTTCTGTGACAGTTGCATTTGCTTGAAATTTTGTGCAATTCTTTTTGAAATGACCAGGTTGAAAACATCCATAGCAGAGTTGTTGTTTAGGTTTGTCGCATTTTGTTCTCAAATGACCCTTACAACCACAGTTATAACAAACTACCTCATGCCCTTTGCCCTCATTCGTTATTGGTCTACTCCTATCGTCGTTAACATATCTAGATTTTCTCATACGTTCATAAACTTGCTCAAGAAGTAATAAATCTTGCCACAAATCATCAACCGTCAAATGATTTTTGATTATCAAATTTCCCGCTATATCTGCCTTATGCAATCCCTTCAAAATTTCACATTTTTGCTCTGCGAATGGTAGATTCAATTCTGATAAAAGTCTCACCTTATCATGAAAATAACTAGATATACTTTCCGCAGGCTTTTGTATCCTACAACGCATTCTATCCCAGCGATCAGCGGTAGAAATTGTTTGAATAAATGTTGATCTGAATTGAGATTCAAAATTTTCCCATCTAGCAATTCCCCTACCAACTCTATCAAACCACGCTACTGCCGGACCCCTCAAGTATGCGCGAGCAATATTAATTTTGGAAATGTCATCTAAATTTTGCAAAGTACTACTCAAATTGATCGTATCTAACCATTCTTTTGCTCTAAATCGCTCCCTATCCCCATCAAAATGCCATAACACTGATGGTACTTGCGACACAACACACTGTGTCTTACTGTTATTCAAAATATTCAACTGAGCTGTCATCAATTCTGTCATTTTGAACATCATATTTTGGAAATCTACCCCATGACTAATATTGCTACTTGCTGCTGGAGTTGTGCTCTCCGCATCATCAACCACTCCATTTGCCAGAATATTGGAATCAGAATCAGGATGTATCATTTTATCAGCCAAGACTACTTCAACTTATCTATAGACGCTTACCTACACCTCGAAACATGTACCAAACCAAACCCAACCTAATCAATGACTCAGCCTCTCTTCGTCTTGATTCTTCTGTCTGATTTCTAAAATGCACCTTCCTTTCGAACAGATACAACGTCTCGATAGAAATATTTGGCCGCGGAATCGAACACCACTTCTGAAGTGATAGTAAATACCCCTTTTAACGACGGCAGTATTTATTAGTATAACCAAAATACATAAAATATCCCTCTCACGCACAGATTCACCCTCTCGATGATTGACAACCGAATTAAGTCCTTATATTTCAAAAGTGACATCCGCTCTCAAAATGCCAAAATACGGGATGTTGTCGATGATATTGAATAAAATACCTAACATACTTCAGAAGATTTTGTTCTCAAATTCTTATCGTGTATGTTCAATAGATGTAATTCGATGTTCGTCGTGGCATATAGCCAGGAAAGAAGTTGTTTTCTGTTGAATGAACCGATAAAAAATCAATATTTTCATCACATGGAAAATGCGAATTCTCAATGTATTTCTTTATATATAAAGTGCTCGAAGAAACAAGTGGACCACTGAAATATTTGACAATTCTCAAACTGCCATATCTTTTTAGGAAATGTATGGATTTTCAATCGGAATGCAGTGCTTGGAAGATGCGATCTTTCTGTTCAAGATTCTTTGTTCAAAACTTGTCGGGAGTTTTTCTGTCATTATACACCAAGTGTTCGAAAAAAGCTTTACAAAAATGAAAAAATTCGAACGCTTCCGTATTCCAGGTTTTTTTTTTCTATTAGACGTTCAAGCCAATATCTCGAAACAGTTTTGTAATTTTCCATATTCCTCATACAGGTTGTTGAAAATCGATGATTTTTCATTTTTAGGTTTTTATCGCATCATTTCCGATTTTGAAATTATGCAAGCCACATTCAACGTATTTTGCCACTCAATACGATGATACACATCCTAGAAAATGATGATAACCTAAAAATGAAAAATTATCGATTTTAAACATCCTGTATGAGGAATATGGAAAATAAGAAAACCGTTTCGAGATATTGGCTTGAACGTTCGAAAAAAATGATTAATAGAAAAATAAAAAAAAATCCCTGAAATACGGAAGCGTTCGAATTCTCTCATTTTTGTAATACTTTTTTCGAACACCTGGTGTATAATGGCAGAAAAACTCCCGACGAGTTTTGAACAAGGAATCTTGAACAGAAAGATCGCATCTTCCAAACACTGCATTCTGATTGAAAATCCATTCATTTTTCAAAAAGTTATGACATCTTATTAGTCCAGTCATTATAGACTTTGACCCGTGAAT